CATTCTCCATCTTTATCACAAATAATTCTGGCATTCCAATAAGCGACAGTGGATGCTGACCTCTTGAATCGCAGTGGTAAGTCACTACCTCACCATAGGTAAAGAAATCCTTGTTGCCGCCATTGTGCTTCCCATTTTCGATGCTTGTAGGTGGTGCACAAGTATTAACTTATGGGGAAAAAAATTAAAAGTAAGAATTTTCTTTTATTCACTTGCTGAACCAAAAATATTATATTCAAGGGGACAGAAAATCTTAACCATTTAGCTGAAAATCAACCTAAGGTTGCACTGGCCCAATTACTGGATTAGGTGAAAGAGGTGAAGGGGTAGGCTGAGAGAAAGAGAAGGCCAAGAGCAGCACCTGCCCACAGCCTCCCCAGGGTATCAAGCCAGTTTTATCATAATTACTGCAACCTGTTTGGCAGGAACAGAGAGATGGTGCTTGTTCTTCATGCCCTGGAAACAGCCTGTTCCAGGCTCCTAGGTGGGACCATTGTGAGCACCATCCTAGGGGAAGCTTTTTTGCTGGGTAAGTAAAAGATGAGTTTTGCTCTGGAAAAAGGATCCAGCCAACAGAAGAGAATGTGAGAGAGAAGAGCTGGACTCATGCTTGTTAGGCATTAGGACACTTATTTACCTATAGCTATGTACAGTGAATGTACTTTCCAAAAAGAGAAAACTAAAGAGGCTTTCAGTGAAATCAGAAGAGGGTGAAGGAGGTGAAGTGAGTCTTTGAAGAGTGTGGCTCCAGAAGCAGAGGAAGAGAAGAGCTGTGAAGCTTCCCTATTATAGTTGGGTACCACCATCCTCCCAATTACCCAGGTTAGCAACCCTGGAATTTATCTTTAACCTATCCTTCTCCCAAACCCTTTCCCTCATATCCAATGACTTTCCAAGTCTTGCCAATTCCACCTCCACTCCTCTGATATCCATTGTCTTCTACACTCATATAGTCAATAATCTAGGTTAGCCCCTCATTACCTTTTACTGGCTGTCCAACTTCAGTATGCTTTTGTATAGTCTGCCCTTTGTGCATGAACTCCCTTCCTCAGCTCTCACTCATCACTCCTCCTCACCCTCATACATCCACACCTCTTAGATTCCTTCTATTCCTTTAAGGTTCAGCTCAGGTGCTATCTCCTCTGGCAATCCTTTCCTCATCCCAAAGTTGTTAGTTTGCCCTCTCTTTCCTCAAATGATATATTTACTTTTCTGGGTCATGTGTTATCAAGCATACAATGTAAAATCCTAGACCAAAGTTCTGTCTTGATTTCAGTGCTTCTGACTTTGCACATAATAGGTATTTAATAGATATCTGCTGCTCTAAAAACAGGAATAAACTGAAGGGAACAAAGCCTGACTAGAATTTTTATCTCCCAATTCAAAAAGATGTTTCTAAGTTTTTCCCCCCCATTTCACTATGTCAAAAAAGCCTGAAATTTCACCAATTAAGAGATTTAATGTAGTTAAGTACACTACTTCTTTTTAGAACACAACTCTCTCCAGAGGGCTAACAAACAATCAGCATCTTACCCCCAATCCCATCTCTCTTCTCTGTGAAATTCCCCATTTCTGTTGAGGACACACCACTGTGTTTCCAACCAACCAAGTTTGCAGCTTGTCATCCAAACTCTTTACACTAACTCATCCCCTGTATCCAATTACTTAATTCTACTTTCATCCCTTTCTCTCCACCCATACAACTGTAATCCAAATACCACCTCTTACCTGGACTATTGTTACAACCTTCTGAGAGAAATGATTAGTAATAACCAGTTACGGGGAAGATAGAGGCTTTTTTCCAGTTGTTTGAAGCTGAGTCTTTGAAGGTCATTGCTGACTTCGGCCAAAAACTTACCCCACCTAGACCATCTTATCTAGGTGAATTCCAGAGCAGTGTTCTACAGGGGTTTGGGTGGGGATAAATTCCTAGATTAAATTGCCCAAGGCTGGGGGTGATTTGGAAGTAAATGGATCAAAATCATGTGCCCTAGCCTTCATTAGAACAGGTCCACCTCTCATTTTAATTCTCTCATTAATTGTTAACGAATCAGAGTTGATTTCCACCCTAAGGAACACCACTCTCCCAAGGGCACGTAAGTGTTAAGTTCAGTTCATTCCATGATTCGTCTTTGGCCTGAGAGACAGCCAAATGACCATCCTTTTATTAATAATATGCTAGCATTCTTAATAAAATGATTAATTACCTAGAAATTGTCTCTTGAACTTTGTATATTACACTTCTATTTGGTCACCTAGCATCCAGAGCTGCCAAAATAATCTTCCTAAACCACAGTCTGGTCAGGTAACTGCCTTGTGAAAGAAGCCTCAATAGCTCCTTATTATCTTTAGGATCAAGATAATACCAACTCTTTAGCTTTACACTTAAAGACTTTCACAGTCTGTCTCCAGACTACATTTTCAGACTTATTTCAAATTACTCACGTCCAGGTTTCAGCTGAACTCAGAATTGCATTTCTTACCTTTCCACTTTTTGTGTAGGCTTCCCCTTGTGCCTGGAATGCCCACCTTCCTCACTTCCAAAAATCTTTAGACTTCCTCCCAGGTCAAACTCAGGTGCTATCCTCCCACTCTCACCACAGAAAGCTTTTCCTGATTCCCCTAGTTGTTAATACCCTCTCACTCTTCAGCTCAACTTATTGGTTACTTAATGTTATATCCCATCTTCCTCTTAAATGCTGCCCCAAGCAAAGGCCTCAGAGGACAGAACAGTTCTTTATCTTTATATCCCTGGTGCTTAGCACAGTGTGTTCTACAGGCTGGCATTTAATAAATATCTGCATTATTGAACGGAAGCATTCAGTGTGAACTAGTTCCAACTGTTGTGTTCCTAGCTGAGATGGCAACATGAAAGGAACAGGAAAATGGATTGCAGAAAAGGCAAGGAAGAACAAGTATATAATTTCAGAGTAGGGAGTATTTTGGAAGGTGGGCCTGGATACAGAGTGTCAGAGTCTTTGGGCAGCATGAAGGGCACTAGGGGATAGAAAGATGTAAAAGGAAAAGAGGCCCATTTCTAAATTTTGCTATGGGTTTCGTCTTTTCCTCAAGAAATGATACTCTCTTTTCTCTAAACTTTAAGACATAGAATTCAGGCTATCATTAGCATAAGTCAGTTACATCATGAGTAAATGTTTTGGTACGCTAACCTAGGACATTGTTATAGTTCACAAATGAATGTTAGAAACATAACCAATTACAGTAATGACGATTACTGCACTACCATGCTAGGTCAAGACCATTTGAAGATGAATAACATTTTAATATGAATTTCAATCTACATTTTGAATAACATTAAAAGATAAACACCACACAGTTTACAAAACACATCCAAAAAATTCTTTAAGTGTATAAATCCATTATTTACTTACTTTTGCAAAATGGAATGGCACCACTCCACACAACTCTGTTTCCATCAAGCTCACATCTTCTAACATCATCACCTATTAAGGTGTAGCTGGAAACAAGAGGAAATGTTATAGGACAATAAGACTTCTGGGATAAGCCAGGAGATTGGTACATTACCCTTTATCTTGCTAAACTACAGTTACAACCAAAGCTTTGATAAAGATTTAAGAAATATCAGGGGGCAGCTGGGTGGCACCAGCCCTGAAGTGAGGACCTGAGCTCAAATCTGACCTTAGACACATGACAATTACTACCTCTGTGACCCCTGGGCAAGTCACTTAACCCCATTGCCTGCAAAAAAAAAAAAAGAAAAAAGAAATACATCATAAAAGTAACAATTGAAACTCCTACAACTTAACCAAATAGAGACACCTACAGTATCTCAATACCTAACCTTTAAATAAGCAAAGAGTAAACATGCTTAACATGAATTTGACCTTGCTAAATAGTTTTTCTCAATTGTCATCTGACCTTATTTTCAAAATGCCTCACTATTACATTGTTTATCCCAACTTGAATCCCTTTCCTCATCATATCTACACCTACCTAATTTTCCATATCATTCCAGGGCTAGTCATTTGTGAAATCTTTCCTTGCCATTTCAACCAAGAGTAATCTCTAGAAATTCTGGTGCCCATTTTCATATGGTTATTTTATGTATTACTATCATACCAATCTCATTCAGATGATGAATTTTTTTATATGCCTATAACGTATCTCCAAATAGACTGTCAGCTACTTGAGGGCAGGGACCACATTTTATGTCTGAGTATACACTACCCAATATATTTATTTAGTAGCCACTATGTACAAAGTATCTATTAACTCAGATTAGGTAAACAGTATCTACAGGAAGGAGAGTTAATGAAAATACCTTTACAGGGTTATCTATTTCCATATTGCCATTAATTTCCCCATATTACTAATATAGAGAAACTATTTAAGTTCCATGAGGACTCCAATTTCATCTTTGTATCTCCAATACGTACATAGTAGGCACTTAATAAATATTTGTTGAATAAAATGTATTACATTTTATTACAATTACAATTAATTGTACTATGATTTCTTGCAGTAAGTACTGAATTCTTTCCAACATTCGCTTCTCCAAAAAGAAAACAAACAGTTCTTGAATATTTAACATTGGTAGGATCACAGCACCATTACCTTACAGCAATCTAATATTCTGGTGGATCATAATCAAGCAAATGATGACCATTCGGCTGTAAGGCACTGACAGAACTCCCTGCTCATGGCTTATTATGGGCATTTCCAGAACAGAGAGGAGGCAGGTAAGCATCATTAAGTTCTTACCCTAACAGCCTCCTTCAGAAATGTGAAGAGTGTATCTTCTAGAAAAGTAGCAAATTCCTTCGTAAACACCTTCAGGAATGCCTCCTGGGCTGAAGCTCAAGTTAAACAAGACTAATGATTGCTCCCTTCCACAGGCTCACTTGGTTGTCTCTGACAAAAATCATCAGTGACCATTATCAAACTAGATATTTGCAATATGTTTATAATTATAAGTAGTTATGATACTCAATAGCATAGAAGGATAGGGACTGGACCTCTCAGATGAAGTACCTCTCTCATCCAATATAACAAACTATATCCCATTCTATGAGATGGGACATACCTATACATACATATACACATATATACATATATACACACATATATAGACACACATACATACACATATATGTATATATGTATATACAGACACATATAAAATATGTATATATGTCTGTGCATATATACATATACATACATACACACACACACACATATATAAAATGAGAGCCTCCCTCTCATTTTTCTTTGGACAGGGAAAAAAGGATTGCAAATAGCAGGTAATATGGAGAGTAACTCTATTATAATGCCATGTTCATGTTGTCAGTCAAGTAAAGCCACTTCCAAACTTCCCTGGACTTGCCTTTGAGCACTCAGTATACAGGCCACCACTGGGCCATACCACTATGCCTTTCCACGTTAATGGGATCGGCAGAGCCTGTAATAAGGAAGGGTTGCCTTCAAGAATCCACACAATGACAGTTACTAGTATAAATCCATCATTTAATTACAATCAAACAGATAAGGATGCCTATTATAGTGGATGTTTTACAAGCCCTAAAAATTGTGAAACAAAATAACAAAACTGAGTTAACTCACACTCCATTTTTTTAAGAAACAACTCACCCTTCATCACAAGAATATGTAATTTCTGAACCAATGAGGTATCTGGTATATGAACTTGACCATTTTCTAAATCTTGTGGATTGGGCATGACTTTTCTGGTTAAAAAAAAAAAGTTAATATTTACATAGCATTGTAAAGTTTTAAAAGTGGTACACACACACGAATACAGATATTGATATCTATATAGCAAGAAAAACATTGAGATACCTTAAATCAGGTGTTTTATAGATATCTTATCTAACAATCTAGCATGTACACACCTAATCTGAACCTCAGAGTGACCCAAGGTGGAAGGCACAACAGGTATCATTATCTCCATTTAAAGATTAGGAAACTGGGGCCCCAAAGGGCTAGGTAACTTGCCCCCTCTCACCCAGCTATGAAGTGTCAGACACAATGCTCAATCACAGGTTTCCTGTCTCCAATTCAGCACCACAAGAATGTTAATGATGCCACTTGCTGCGTGCACAGAATAGAGCAGACACCAACCAACCAGCAAGCATTTATTAAATGCCTACAATGTGCTGGGAATTGTGCTAGGTGCTGAGAATACAGAGACAAAAACTCAACAGCCCTGCTCTTCAGGAGCTTACATGCTCCTTGATGTTTTCCAGTATGACTCAATGACTGAAAGACTAAAATGAGTTCTTTCTGTGCCCAAATACAAACTAAATCCTCAATTCCTCAGAATATTTTCTTGATTCATCTGTTATAGATGCCATTACAGGTCATAGGTAAGGTTGATAATTACAAAGAAAATAACTTATCAAGAAATGCAGGGAAAGCTGAAAAGTAATATGGAGGAAGACAGATTATTTACAACAGTATCTTATACCATATACCAAGGTAAGATCCCAATGGATGTGCAAACTAAATATGAAAGACCATGTCATAACAAAACAGAGGAGAATGGAAGCAGACTATGGCCAGAGGCAGAATTTTTTTTTTTGGTGAGATAATTGGGGTAAGTGACTTGCCCAGAGTCACACAGCTACTAAGTGTTATGCATCTGAACTCAGGTCCTCCTGACTTCAGGGCTAGTACTCTATCCACTGCGCCACCTAGCTGCCCCTCAGAGGCAGAATTCTTAATCAACAAAGTGGTCAATCAATAGCGAGAATATAGACAACATTGCCTACATAAAACTAAGAAAATTTTGCACAAACAAAATCAATACAATTAAGATAGAAATAAAAACTCTGAACTGCAAAAAGCTTGCGTCAAACATCTGATAAAAATCTAGCAGTCAAGATACACAGGGAATTAACATAAATATGAAAGGACAAGAGCTATTCCCTTCTAAAGAAGGTCAAAAGATAAGAAGTGTTCTTTTTTAATGGAATATAATTTTATTATAAAAAATTTAACTTTTAATTGATTTTTATGCAATCTTCAATTTCAAATAGATTCCTCACGTTTCCTTTAACAATGGAACCAACCTTTATAACAAATTTTAAAAGAGGGGAAAAAAGGGGCAGCAGGTGGCACAGTAGATTCTGACCTTGGAGTCAAAGAGGACCTGAGTTCAAATCCGGCCTCAGACACATGACACTTACTAGTTGTGTGACCCTGGGCAAGTCACTTAACCCTGATTGCCTCACCCAAAAAAAAAATCCAACCAACATGTTAGCTTTTTCAGAGTACACATGTTTCACACCTCCAGTTTCCCATCTCTACATGAAAAGGAAGTGTGCACATTTTCTCAGCTGTTACCTGGGGCTAATCTTGGTCATTATAATTACACAGCATTCAATCTCATTCTTTAGCTTTTCCCCTTACGCTGCCATAATACTAGACACTGTTTTCCTGGCTATACCTGTTTCACTCTACATCGATTCATATAAATCTTCCCACAACTTACTGAATTCTTCATATTGTTTCTTAATGGTACCTCGATATCCCATTACATCTACACACTGCATTTTGTTGATCTGCTCCCTAATGAACACACATCCTTGCTAGCACAAGAGAGTATTTTATGAACATGTGAATGAATAAGACCTGTAGTTCTTGGACCACTCTTGGGGAGGTGCCTTTGTTGTTGTTCAGTCACTTCAGTTGTGTCTCATCTTTCATGAACCCATTTGGGATTTTTGTGACAAAGATACTAGGGGAGTTTGCCATTTTCTTCTCTGGTGGATCCATTTGTCAGGTAATCAGAGGTTAAGTGACTTACCCAGAATCACACAGGCTGGATTTGAACTCAGATCTTCCTGACTCTGGGCCAAGTGCTGTATCTACTGAGCCATCTAGCTGCCTCATAACAGCATAATACCTGGTTACAGCCCCTCCAGTAATGACTATGCCTATCTTAGTCCTTTGCCAGTTTGCTGAGTGTGAGGTGAAATCTCAGGTTTTTAAATGTTCATTTTTTGTATTATCTGATTTGCATTTCCCTTATTAGCTATTTTGAGCAAACTTTCAAATGGTTAATGGTTTGCAATTCTTTTGAGAACTTTTATGTTCATAATCTTTAACTACCGATTTACTAGAAAATGGTTTTAACATTTGTGTGGGTTCCTTATTTGGATACCAGACCTTATCATAGGCATGATATACAGATTTTTCCTCAATCAAAAGCTTCCCTTCTTTTCCTAATTGCACTGATTATGCCAAAACTTTTCAATTTCATGTAAACTAAAATTACTGATTTTATCTTTTGTGATCATCTCTTTTTACCTTGTTTGGTTAAAGAATTCTCCCTCTAGCCGCAGCTGCAAAAGGTACCTGATCTAGTTCTTTTCTAATTATTTTATGGTCTGATTTTTAATAACCAAGCTGCACAAGCATTTTGGGTTCATTGTGGTATATGGTACATGGAAACAGCAATATCCTAACCCCATCTCCCACTCCGGTGGGCAAATTTTACAGCTTTTGAAGTACTGAAGGCTTTTTCAAGACCTAATTAGCTCAGGTAACTTAAGGCTCAGGCTGTTGATGTCACTTCCTCACTGCCTTAGAAGTCACTTCAGGGAACTCCAATGCTTGGGTGATGGATCACCCTAGGCATCTCAGACAGGGGAGCTTGGCTCAGCTGAATCAACTTCAGGTACCTCAATGCCTGTTCTTACTGAACAGCTTTTTGCTAGAGCTAAATATTGAATGACCAAGTAGCTCATTTGGTTCCAATTCCAAAATATTCATAGCAGCAAATCTGTGGTAGCAAAAAATTAGAAACAATATAGGTTCCCATTGATTGGACTATGGCTGAACAAAAGTATATGAATGTCATGTGAATATTGAGGTGTTTCATTCTTTTCCTAGTGGTGGAATCTCTGGCTCAAAGATTATGTAGAATTTAATTACTTTTCTCACATAATTCTGAATTGCTTTTCAGAATGTTACATCAATTCATAGCTCTAGCAACAGCATATTAAGGTGCCTGTCTTATCACACAGCCCTTAGAATTGTACTCTTTCATATGGTTCAGTTTGCAATTTTTTGGAAAAACTTTTCATTTTTGAAAAAAAAATGCATCTGATGACCAGGGACATATGGGAAGACTTCTATGAAGTAATGCAGAATGACATAAACTGAACAGGAAAATATACTCAACTAAATAACAAAAGAAAAGAGCACTAAAAGGAAGCCAACTGCTAAGTCATTTTAATCACTAAACTTGTACCAAAAGAGATGAAGAAATGAATCTCCCCCCATTTTGGTGGAGAAGTGGGAAATTATGGGTGCAAAATAATGCATATGTTACATATGTTCAACATGCTGAAGTAAATGTTTTTGTTTTCTTGTTATAGGGATGGATCACTGCATACAAAGGTCCCTCATGGGGGTAGGGTGGGGGTGGAAGAAAAAACATTCTGAAATAACTGATGTAAAAACAGAAAGCATCAATGGAAATTAGTGCTGAAAAAATCAACAGTACAAAGATTCTCTGTAAACAATGAAAATTTCAAAAGTACATGGCAGCCTGTAATTAAGTATGAAAATGTATCACAGGAAAGAATATGGATTCAGTAGTTCAACATAAATGAATGAAAAATTCCAATAATAATGACTAAGATACAATACATGTGATAGAATTACTCACTTTTACAAGACCCTGACACAGGTGACCACGTTCCATCATCCTGACAAGTACTGAGAAGAGGCCCAGGTTTACTGAGAGTATATCCTGGCCGACATAAAAAACTCACAGTGCTGTTAATAGGAAAGTAATTTTCACTTATGAATATGGCATTCAGCTGCATACTAGCGTTCCGATTTGGGGCATTACAGCTACCTGAGAACAAAAGGGAAAAGGACATGAATAAAGGAGTGCAGTCATGAACAGGTGATCAAAACATTTCCTTCAAAAAGCTTACAAAGGAAAAAAAACCTTACAATATGCCATGGTATGCTATATACCAAAAAAAAATTCTCTACAATGTTAATATAGGAATGAGTTTCTAATTCAACATTACATGCAAAAGAGAGGATGTTATTCTGTAGTTTCTTTTAAAAAATGTATCACTCTTACCATATTCATTTCTTCCAGGGATCCCTTGATAATCAAATGAATGAAAAAGGCTTTATTAAGCACCTACTATACAACAGTCACATGTGGTAGGCAGTGGAGACATAATTGTATAAGAAGTTTATTTCTAACGGTGGAAAACAACACACGTAAGAGAAGTTGGAACCAGGGAAGGGAGTTTTGACCTGCAGAAGGAAGTCACAGGAATTGAAGGTAATTCTATAAGGCAAATAATTGTTATATCATTCTAATAACGATGGTATCACTGATTTGACTACTTTTCCTAGGACAAGATAAGGAGGAGGGTCATAAGGAAGTGAGACTACTCTCACAGTGGCAGAGCAGATAGGATGCTTGAGCTGGACAGGCCCTAGTTTCCTTATGGATAGCTAAATGGGAGGTCAAACAGTGGTCTGGAGACAGGTAGATAAAAAACAGGCTAAGTGAGTTTTTAGTCACTCATCAAGTAATCAGGATAGCTCAGATGAGGTCAGAGCTGAGTGGATTAACTGGGGGAGAAGACAGAGTTCCTCTGGAGATCCAGGTCTCTACTGGATTGATTAGTTTATACTAATTTCAATGATAAATGGCACTGTATATATTCTTTAATTATTACTTCAAGTACCTATTAGATCTTCTTATAAAGATTAATGTACTAGAGGCAGGAGACTTGTGTTCTACATTCTCTTATGCCTCCTGTATTACTCTACACAGCGTGCTACCTAAGAAATGTAAGCATGAAGTAAACTAACAGCTGCTCAAGAAATATGTACTGAATTGAAAATAATTCACACTTTAAATTGATAACATACTAAAACATGTTTAAAATGTAGCATTATATCCATTTACTTGGCACTTCCAGGGAATGGGCAATTCCATATCAATAAGCCTCCTGGGTAATCGAACTTCACCCCCCAAACACCAAAATTGTTTTTTTTTTAAAAAGTATGTTAGGTAGAAATCTAAATTGTATTACAAATTTCCTTGTCTCCTTAAAAGAATATGCTGAATAAAATTCAATCTACTTTTGGTAATCTGGTATCACCACCATAAACGATAACAATAACTATCACTAAGTGTTATAATACCATGTAGAGCCCCTCTCTGGTAGCACTTTCATCTAAATCCAGCATTCAAAGGATGTAGGTTCGGTCTGAAAGGGGAAACCATTATCTCCAAGGTTCAAAGGAACTTGATGGGTTCGCACTACTAAAATTACAGCTCATGAGCCCCAACCAGTACACCTATTTTTAAATAGTTAGCCCATAAATACAGTGAACTCAAGGAAAAGACAGTTATTAAGATAGGATAGTAAGAAAGTAACTATACAACAGTTCTACCTCCCCACACACCATAAACTTGGGGTGTATTCTCCCCCATATTAAAAAAGCAGTAGTTAAGAGTGAGGAAAAACTAAGAGTATACTGGTAGTGAAGTACACATGAAGGAAACATATTTAGCCTAAGTAATGCTTCCAGTACTGTAGGGCCTCAATGTCCTTTCTCTTCTTACAGTGTACTCAAGCTGCACCATCTGAGTAGCATCTGTGTTGACCAGGTTGCTTAGATAGGTTCTCTTAGTCTGCTGCTCTCCTCAGTGCCTGGGCTAACTCCTTCTTGAAACCACAGTAGGCTCTCTTCTCTGCTGCCATTTCCACCAATTCTCTGTTATGTACTGGCTTCAGTGGCCAGTGGACAAGATGCTATGGATAGTGGGGCTGAGAAATATAATCCACCTCAACTCCTTGCTGTGTGCTCTGGTAGAGTGCTCGCTCATACTTCACCAATCTGCTTTCTGACTTGGCTTTCTCCCTCTCTCTCTCTCTGCTCCCTAAATGAAACAGAGTATTCTACTGGGTGAATCAATCTGCTCCAAGACACCAAAGATGAGTAAGACAATGGGTGAGTGGGGCTGTCTCCAGGACTGGGAAGTTTAGCTTTTCAAAGGCCATCAGCATTGTGACCAATTTTTTGCCAGCCAAATGTAAGCTGCCCTTCCAATTCCACCAGTGAAACTGAAGATTTTGTAAAGGTGCAATAAGGTATAAACAAGACCGTGTTTCATTTAAAACATGTTATAAGCCCCTTCTATTATGACATTAACTAACTTGAGGGGGGATATCAATTGGTTAAGGACTAACTCTACACACACTGATTTCTACTTCTTCTCAAGGCAACTGAGATGTGTGTAAGATTCTTTGTTCTGATGCTAAACATCCTTAGACTTATGTTTGAGTTAGTGTCAGCTTTTTAATCTGCATCCTACCCCATTTACAAGGTATCAACTTCTCCTATTGCCTCTAAAAGCCATTCTCCTTTATCAAAATTGCCTTAATGAAAATTTCACTCTTCAAAAGTAATACAGAGAAAACCATCAGCAAGCATTACATGTAATGGGGATAAGCTAGAAGCATTTCCAGTAAGATTGAGGTGAAACAAGGATGTCCATTATCACCACTGTTATTCAATATTGTACTAGAAATGTTAGCTTTAGCTGTAAGAGGAGAAAAAGATATTGGAGGAATTAGAATAAGCAAAGAAGAAACAAAGCTACCACTCTTCGCAGATAGTAAGATGTTATACTCAGAGACTCAAGTAAAAAATTACTTGAAATAATAAACAAATTTGGCAAAGTTGCAGGATATAAAATAAACCCACATAAATCACTGGCATTTCTATATATTACTAACAAAGCCCAACAGCAAGAGATAGAAAGAGAAATTCCAGAAGCAGCGAGGTGGCACAGTAGAGTACCAGCCTTGGAGTCAGGAGGACCCGAGTTCAAACTCTAGCCTCAGACACTTACTGACTGTGAGACCCTGGGTAAATCACTTAATACCTATTGCCTTTCAAAAAAAAAGAAATTCCATTTAAAGTTTCATAAAATATGGAGTCTATCTGCCAAAACAAACCCACGAACTATATGAACATAATTACAAAACACTTTTCACACAAATAAAGTCAGATCTAAATACTTGGGAAAATATCAGTTGCTCATGGGTAGGCTGAGCTAATATAATAAAGATGACAATTCTACCTAAATTAATTTACTTATTCAGTGCCACACCAATCAAACTAACAAAAACTTATTTATAGAGCTAGTAAAAAAGTAACAAAATTCATCTGGAAGAACAAAGGGTCCAGAATATTAAGGAATTAATGAAAAGAAATGCTAGAGAAGGTGGCCTTAGCAGCACCAAATCTTAAATTTTATGATAAAGCAGTAATCATCAAAACTCCTTGGTATTGGCTAAGAACTAGAGTGGAGGATTAAATACACAAGACACAGTAGTAATGACTATAGTAATGTACTGTTTGATAAACCCAAAGACTCCTCTGGGATAAGAACTCACTATTTCACAAAAACTGAGGGGAAAACTAGAAATCACTATGGCACAAACTAGGCATACACTAACATCTTACACCATATGCCAAGATAAAGTCAAAATGGGTACATAACTTATACATGAAGGCTGACAGTATAAGCAAACTAGGAGAGCAAAGAATACTTTACCTGTCAGATTTACAGTGAAGAGAAGAATTACAACCAAACAAGATATAGAGGACATTAGGAAATACAAAATGGATGATTTTAATTACATTAAATTGAAAAGCTTTTGCACAAGAGGGGCAGAGCCAAGATGGTGGAATAAATGCAGTGACTTGCTTGAGCTTTCCCCTAAACCCCTCCAAATAACTATAAAAAATGGCTCTAAACAAATTCTAAAGCAGCAGGACCCACAAAAAGACAGAGTGAAACAAATTTCATGCCCAAGACAGCCTGAATGGTTGATTAGAAAGGTATATTGCGCCAGGGGGGGAAAGGAGAGAAAGTGGCAGTTCAGGCATGGGAGTGCAGGCCGCAGCAAACCTGGAGCAGGGCTCAGAGGACTGAACTGTGGGCAGCTGTGGCAATTTCCTGACTTCTCAACCCACAAACGCTAAAGACAACTAAGAAGGTCAGTAGGAAAAGTCTGTGGGGTGACAAGAGAGATGCCCAGTCCCAGTCCCAGCCCTTGCGCTTGGCCCCAGGGCAGCAGCTGCCTCCACAGCTTCTGGCCCACAGACAGAGGGAATGGAGTGGCTGATCAGAGGGAGATTGAAGGGATCTCTTTGCTGGTGCAGGATTCTCTTGCTTTGCCCACACTTGGATCTGGGTCACAGCTCTAGGCAGTCCTGGGGCATGATGGAGCTTGTAGTGGCTGTGACCAGGAAATCCTCCTCATAGTTCCAAGACTCACTCATAGAGCACAGCACAGGCCAGGAAAGAAGTAAACACCTCCCCTTGATCATAGCACCTTGGAAGAACTGAAAATTTACAGGTTTCTAGAAGTATCTCTGAAAGCTGCTGCACAAAACCCTGAAGCTTGGGACAATACATTCTCCACACTGGAAACAGACTCCTACCTTAACAAAGAGTTTATAACTCAAGTAAATGGCCGGGATCATGAGCAAGCAGCGCAAAAAGAGTCAGACTATATTATTTTACTTTGGTGACAAAGAAGATCAAAACAAACAACCAGAAGAAGACAACAAAGCCAAAACTCCTACATCCAAAGCCTCTGAGAAAAATGTAATCGGTCCAAGGCCATGGAAGAGTTCAAAAAGGATTTTGAGAAGCAAGTAAGAGAAGGAGAGGAAAAACTGAGAGTGATGCTAAAGCAGACCCAAAAAAATTCTTAAGAAAATAACACCTTAAAAAATCCCTAACCCAAATGGCAAAAAAAAAAGCCAATGAGGAGAAGAATGCTCTAAAAAGGAAAACTG